CTTTCCATAGAGCAGAAGGGCAAGTTTTTTACTACTTAACTAATCTTTCCCCGATGAAAGCTTCACTGGTCCTGAAAGCTTCTGGATCAGGTTGCCACAGGATTTCTCTTTCCCATCAATGACATATGGCTGAATCCTTAAAGCATGAGGATTACTTTAACATATTGTTTTAGTTTTCTTAATGCACGTTATGATATGTTCCTCATGTAAAATTCCAGGAGTTACATTGTGAAAATAAATATTTATGACTAGATTAAAAAGGGTAAGATTTTTTTAAAACCTGGGTTTATTTCTATACTGTGTGCAAATTTTCATTGACAGATACTCATTCGGAAATCTCCCTATACTTTTCAGCTCATTCTAGCTAGTGTTTGAGTCTTTTATTTTTTTTCTCGCTTTTATAAGAAAAGTCTAAAGCCCACAATCTGTTAGATATATACACTGAAGTGTAGCTTGCTTCTAAGAGCCTCACACTTTTCACAGAAGATTCTGCATGGAAAGGGTGCCTGTAGCACTTATTTTCCACTTGCACAAGGAACTACAATAGCTTATGGAATTCAAGGGACTGAGGTTCCCATTATATGTTCCTAACTCACTTTCCTTCACTGGATCCAACATATTTCAGCAGTCAGTGTTAGCTTTAGTGGATAACTGTCATTTCTCTTGAGTATCGAAGTAGAAAATATTTCCACCAGTTTTGCATTAAGTCTGATTTATGTGATGCTCGAATAGCTAGCTCTTCTCCCGGCATCTTATGTCCTCCTAATTTAATTCCAGCATCATCTTAATGGGAAGCATTATTATGGGTATGTATAATGGGAGTCCACACGCAGTGTCCTGGCCCACAGTGGACTTCCAGGTGAAACCGAAGGAAGAAGTACTCATTTCCAGAGCTCTAATGAGCAGGAACCTGAAATTTTGTCTCCTTGTGCCATATTGTCACTGGTTCAATCTACATGGAGCAGGTGTGCTCTGCTGTACTCCCGTTAGTCCTGGTCTACCAGTTGTCCCAGTTGGAGGATCTATTGAAACAGCCAGTGGCTTTCATTCATCCCCACCCATAAACTTCCTTTGGGAGGAAGCCCAGATGAGCTGGAGAAATACTGTGTCAGCATGATCCTCTTGCAGCGTGAGCAGGTGGTCTGGAAAGCAGGGTAAGCAACAGGATGCACATGCCCCTCAGGCAGGTCTGTGCAGCTCTGCTGGTGACAGATCACATCTGTGATCTGTTGGAGAGCCTGCTATAGGAAGGGTTACTCTGTGAAAGGTCCTTGGTACAGGGACATGACCCCAGCCTGTTTTGCTAGTCCTCTAGTACACCATGAAGTATGTCTCCTATTAGTCATGGTGAGGGCAGTGGCTTCAGGCTTGGAGTTATTCTTTGTGAGTAGTCTTGAGTATTTTTGTACGTTTTGATCAGCAGAGGATGGGCAAACATATCTATATTTGATGAATGCCATAAATAATAGAGGCAGATTATTTGAACTGAACAGCTTTGTGGTCTCCAGGAGGAAATGAGTCATTGCTTCATGTTTTTTACATCCTCATTTGTGGAGTCCCAATCGCATGTTTGGTTTGTAATATTTCGGAGCTTTTGGTAAGGGTTCTTTGACAACGCAAAAATTACTTTGTGGGTAAAATTTTCTTTTGGTTTATGAATGGGCTTTTTCTTAAATAGCAATAATGTTTAAAAAACAAAAAAGCAAATGTTGGCTTTTTTTCCCTCCTGTTGTACTTTTGCATTTACCACATTTATTCTTCCTCTTCTGTCATTTCTAGCTGGATGCAGTGAATAAATACATGCCCAAGATATTTATCTCTGTACCATGGTTCGTCCAGCTGGTCTTGCTCAGTTTATACCAAGTTATTTCTTGGTGTGTCTCTTCTTGGTCGGCTGTCCGGGAGCCACAAGAGTGCTATGGGAATTGCTTCTTCACTTTTTTTTTTTTTGATACTAACAAATGCTGGGGTGGTGCTGGATAAGAAATGCTTTCTGAGACTCAAGGACAGGAATAAACACTTTTTCTGTAAGTTTAGAAAATTAAAACCATCTTGTGTTGATACTAATCAGTACAGAAGTAGCTGTCATTTAATTTTTGTTGTATTAAAGCCTAAGAATATAATGTTTTCCATGGTGAACTGTTCTGCTCCCTTGTCCCTGAGGGCAGTTTCCCAGGGGGTCCTGTTGACTAACTCCTTGAAGAGCTGGAAGTTTCCTTTCCTAAAATTCAGGGTCCTGACTTTATTTTTCCCCTGACCCATACCCCTTAGGACTGTGAACTCCACCAGTGCATGATCACTGCAGCCCAGGCTGCCTCCAATCTTGACATCACCAATTAGCTCACTTCCATTGGTGACCATCAGGTCCAGTATCACCTCTCCCCTGGTGGGGCTGTCTTACTACTTGGCTTAAGAAGTTATCTTCAGCGCACTCCAGGAGTCTCCTGGATTGCCTATAGCTCACTGTGCTACTTTTCTAACAGATGTTGGGCTGGTTGAAGTTCCCCAGCAGGACGAAAACCTGTGAGTGCAATGCCTGCTGTAGCTGCAGTAAGGCGGCTTTGTCAATTGGCTCCTCTTGATTGGGTGGTCCGTAGTAGACACCAACCACAAGGCTCATTTGTTGCCTCATTCTCTTATTCTTACCTTTGTGGCTTTTATGATCACATGTCTACTGGAAGGAAAACTAAACTTGCCAAGTATTTGTTTAGTGAAGTCTCAATGAATGTTAACTGACTTAAAGGATGTTTCTCTAAACTAAGTCCTGGGTTTGTACTTCTTGTGCTGGCCAAACCCCCAGTAGCTTCATTGAAAGTATGAACTCCAACCCTTGAACAAACAAGCACACAAAAAGGAAGGAGTTTAGAAAGGACCTTCTATAGAACCAGATGACAAAGTCCAAAGTCTACATGGCACTGTAAGACTTTTACAGAAGACTTGTGTGGATAGGTCATCTGCTATGCTGAGTGGTGGCAGATGTTAAAAAAAAAAAACAGTTTGTAACTGAACTCTGTGCTAAGAGCTGTCCACTGAGATTTGAGTCAAATCCCTGTGATAAACATCGTTGGAATGGGCTCATAAACATTGTGCCAAGCAAATGGGGAAATAATTTTCAGAAAAATAGGAAATTAAAAAGACACACAAAAATTAAATTGGCGCACGTGTGAATGAACGCTATTGATTTGGCTGTTTTGCAGAAAATGATGTTGCTAATGCTTTGATTAGCATATGACTGAGACAGGCATTTTTAGTTTAGGTTGTCAGCCCAGTTATACTAAGGCTATTATAACTTTCTCCAAAGGATACTTTTCTGAACAAAACTCTCTGGGCAATCACATCAGGAATCTGACACGTGATACCAACAGTCTCTTTTGGGATAAACTCTCTAAGGCTTCTATGGTTTGGAAAGTGAAAGTAGAAAAATAATCCCTGAAAAATGTCATGATAGAGATTTGTTTTCTTTGTATGTCTTTTCTTTGACATACTATGGAGCTTCATGCAGATTTTTACCATGGTGTCAACTACCTTTGCTTTAACTCACTGGACCATTAATATGTATTCTGCAATTACACCCAGGACTTTGAGTCACATGCAAACCTCACGTATATGCCAGGTGCTGAAACAGTCCCAAAGAGTAGATCTGTGGGTTCTAGCACTTTTAAAAAAAAAAATAATCAGGCCACTTATTTCAAGACTTAACTAAGAATAATTTGGAAACAAGGAGAGAGACTGTGTGAAGGTGGAAGACACCTTTTATTTGTACCCTTTTCTATGGTTTGAGATGACTTGGAAGTTTCCAGCCATAGTCACGCTGTCCCTCCCAAACATACTTGTACAGGTGATAATGAGAGATGGTAGGCAGCTGGTGACACCGTGCTGTGCAGACACAGAAGAGTCTTGTGTCAGATGTCATTTGAGTGAAGTTGTTGGTGATGGATTCCCCAACACTGGTGAGCTTGGCTGGATGGGTAGTGATGAGTCTCCCTGAAGTCTTCTTGTTCATAGGTGGATTAGAACTGTGCGAGGGTTGTTACAGCCTGTGCTGAGGGCTCCAGAGCTAGACTCAATACTCTAGGTGGGGTCTCACACAGCAGAGTAGAGGGGTAGAATCACCTCCTGATGGTCATTTCATATACTAAAGGCTTGATCTGGTTTCCTACTTTCAAACTGTCAGAGAGGTGGTGTGACGTGCCACCTGAACTTTCAGAGCTATGGGGAACATCAGAGGACTCACACACAAGAAGGACCACAGGCATTAGATGACAACCAATGATGCGTGTGACAGCCTAATGATAGCATTTAAGTAGTAGCAAGGTTTTGGGCACTTGCTAATGAAAATAGTGGTACCTATCTGCTCACTTAAGGAAATTTCTTTAATTACTCGCTGAAAGCAGGCTACTTGTTATACTTTCCCAAAATGTTATGGCTTTAGTAATTTATTGTTTCTCAAGACTACGTTTTTTTCTTGGCTCTAGTTGGGTGTCTTTGTGCTGGTCTCACAATATTTTGAAAGTTTTTCTTTTTTACCTTTATTTTTAAGAAGTTAATATGCAGTGAGTCTTCTGAATGGGTTCAGATAGAAAGGCCTGAAGTAGGGTGTATAAGAAGACTAGTTCAGACAGGTGAAAATAGGTGATCAGTGTTTCCTGCTGCTGGTCTTCAGGGAATAAATCATTTATCTAATAGTTATCTGTTGTACTTACTGTCAATGTGATGTGGAAAATATTCTTTGTTTTGAGTATAATAGTCTTATTCTTACAGTACTTGTTAATCTTTTTTATTGGTCAGTTCATATGTTTTTCCACAACATGATGAGCACTTCTTCCTCTCAACTCTGATATTTTTCTGCTGTTGAGGCTTTCTCATTCTCTGCCCGAGTTGACTGGTTAAGACAGGCTGGAGGCTCAGGCACAGGTGTGAATACTTGTTTCCAAACTATGGGCTGTCTGTTGAAAAATTCAGCAAGCCCCTTATAAATCAAGCTGTCAAGCATTTCACCTGAAGAGAGTCTGTTGCAGAGCAACACTGTGTGATAAAGGAGAAGCTTGACAAGTAAGGGCTACTTAAGTTGGTGGCCTTTGAACTCAGTGACAGTGGTCCCGGACTCACGAGTTGAAGCTGCAGGCTGTGTAAAATAAATGGGTTCTGTGGTCATGACCTTCATTAAAATCCAACCTTGTTTTCATGCTTCCTATATTATGCTGTTGCCAAGTAATAAAAATTCAGTTCCTTGTGACATGAAAATCATTCTACCCCTAAAATGCAGTCAGAATGTTTTTAAAAAATATGGTTTATTGACAGCTGCATCCACCATGCCATGCTTTACTCTTCTACTTTATATGTGGCATTTAGCCATACTAGGGTTTTCTTTACTATTTTACTTATTTACAACATAATGATGCCTTTCATGCTTTCAGTGGCTTGTTTTGCAAGACGTAGTCAGGATAGCCTTAGTATAGATTTATTGCTGCTAAAATGTGTCATGAAAATAATCGGATTAACTGTACAGGTGACAGGCTGGTTAATCTATCATCCTCCACCTTAAGCAGTTTCAGAAATTCATTATTTTTATTTTGTGAATGACCTTCATAAGCCATCTATGACTGGTGTCTTCAGATGCTGAAAATACAGACCTTCAAGCTATATGCTGAACTCTGGAAGGAGGGGAAAAAAGGGGTGAGGGTGGATTTCAACAGACTATTCAAAACTAGTAGAAAACAATTAACAAACAATTTTGAATGTCGTCTTGCAATTGATAAGCTGTTGAAGCAAGTAGTTGAAACCTACAGTATCTGCACAAGAATGATTGTGGTGAGTTCATACTAAGTATTTCTTGTGGTTTTTGTTGGTCCTGACTTCTCTACACCTCAGTTCACTCACCTGTAAAATAATAAATCTTGGCTATTTCACAGAGCTGTTCTGATGCTTAATTAATTGCACTCTTTAAAGAGCTATAGTTATTATACTGTGATATATAAAATGTCACACTGTAATTGGTGTAAGAAATGAAATGTCCAAATAGCTATACATGAGGAGAAGGGATATGTCTCTTGAAGGTGCTTTTACATTTCTTTGCAGTGGCAATTTGTGAAGTAGAAAGGAACTGAAACAAAACCAATAAATCAGTGGAATGCTTTCTGTGCTGCTAATTTTGCAAGACGTTTTTAAAGTGGGAATGTGTAGACTTTGGAAACCAGAGACAAAACAGAAGACTGCACAGTGTCCTCAGCTTAAAAAAAAAAGGGACTGGAACTCAGATATTGAAGGCATCCTGCTAATCTACCATCTACTATGATACACCAGCTGAATCCTTTGGAAAGCTAAAACTAGAAAGAGTGGCTTTCTGAGACCATCTTCTGCTTCAGAACCAAGGCAAAGTCTATTTGTCATTGCCTGGGGAACTGTACTCACGCAGCTTCTCAGAAGGCCCACAGGGTTTTCGTACATTTCTGGTTGGATTTTTAGGAGATTTGCAACCCCAAGCGAATTTTGGATTGCTTAGGAAGAGAAACTGCCTTTTCATCCTTTGAAGTACTTTGGATATAGCAGCTACTCTCTACTCAATTAGAATGTATTACTTACAACACTCCCTGCAGCTACCCTAGAGTAGGCAATTAACATTTGGTTAAGAAATTTACAATTTCTTGATGCAAATCACAGAGGGAAATATATATATACACACACATACATACATATATACACAAATATAAAAATAGTGGGTTTTGATACCTCACATCCTTCGTTTAAATTGATGAATGCCCTTATAGAAGGAGGTGGTGTTGGAAAAAGCCTGAAAAATCCTGGGTGCTCATTGTTCCTTGGGGGCAACAGGAACAAGGTGCAAGAAATCCTAATAATGCATAGGTACCATATTCGGCTACACCAAAAGGAAAATATTGACATAGACATTGGAAGACTGCGGTCAAGCAGACCCCCGAGGTGATGACTACAACATTATTTATGTGGGATCTGTTCAGCTGTGCTATAGCTGGGGGAGTTAGTCTATGCTTTGCCCTCAGACTGGCAGAGAAAGAACTGGAAACGTGGGGAATAAACACAAGGGGAGAGCTGTGGATATGGCCTGTCTGGAGTTTAGTAAGACCTTTGACGCTCTTCCTTAACATCCTCATAGAGAAGGTGATGAAATACAGGCTGGATGAGCAGACAGTGAAATGGATTGAAAACTAGCTGAACAGCCAGGCCCAGAGGGTGGTGATCATTGGCACAACATCTACTTGGAGGCCAGTAACTAGCGCTGTACTCCAGGGGTCAATATTTAGCTTCATAATTAATGATCTGAATGATGAGGCAGAGTGTACCTTCAACAAGTTTGCTGATGACAACTAACTGGGAGCAGTGGTTGATATGCCAGAGGGTCATGTTGCCATCCAGAGGGACCTCAACAGGCTGGAGAACCTCATGAACTTCAACAAGAAGTGCAAAGTCCTACACCTCGGAAGAAAGAAACCCCTGTGCCAGTATATGCTGGGGGCCACCCACCTGGAGAGTAGCTTGGCAGAACAGGCTCTGGGGATCCTGGTGGACACCAAGCTGAACGTGAGCCAGCAACATGCCCTTGTGGCAAAGAAGGCGAATGATATCTTCCACTGTGTTAGACAAAGTATTGCCAGCAGGTCTAGAGTGGTGATCTTCTACTTAGCACTGGTGAGGTCAGAACTGGAGTACTGTGTCTTTTTCTGGGCTCCTCACTACAAGAGAGACCCTGAGCCAGCAACATGCCCTTGTGGCAAAGAAGGCGAATGATATCTTCCACTGTGTTAGACAAAGTATTGCCAGCAGGTCTAGAGTGGTGATCTTCTACTTAGCACTGGTGAGGTCAGAACTGGAGTACTGTGTCTTTTTCTGGGCTCCTCACTACAAGAGAGACCCGGACATACTGGAGAGAGTCCAGCAAAGAGCCACAAAGATGATAAAGGGACTGGAGCTTCTCTCTGATGAGAGGAGGCTGAGAGAGCTGAGACTGTTTTGCCTGGAGAAGAGAAGGGTTAGGGGGAATCTCATCAATGTATATAAATATCTGAAGGGAGGGTGCAAAGAGGACAGAGCCAGGCTATTTCCAGTGGTGCTCAGTGACAGGACCAGAAACATAGAAGGTTCCTCCTGAACACCAGGAAACACTTTTTTACTGTGAGGTTGACCGAGCACTGGCACAGACTGCCAAGAGAAGTCATGGAGTCTCCACCCTTGGAGACATTAAAAAACTGCCTGGATGTGGTCCTGTGCAGCATGCTCTTGGTGGCCATGCTTGAGCAGATGGGTTGGATCAGATGACCTCCAGAAATGCCTTCTAACTTCAATGATTCTGTGATTTTTATCAATGTATAGTCTATTAGAAGTTTGCGGGTTAGAGCTCGTTTAAATCCTGGACGTTTGTGCATCCAAAATGTCTACTGAGAAGAATCTGGGCTTTCTGACTTAAGTAATCACCCTTCACCAATACATGTTTATGCAATAGATGGAACTGTTTACTGAGATCACCCAAAAGGTGAATTAGGTTTGAATGAGTTTATCTAAGCTGTAATGCTTCACACATTCTGCTAACACGCTGCATGCTGCATTAGCTGCTTTCTGCCTTATTACCCTATAAAGCTCTAAATGTTTTGGGACTTCGTTATTGTAGAGAATTGGCTTTCCACATCTGATACCTCTGCTGCTGCAATTAGCGTTAATGTGTGAACTAACAACCAGTTTTAAAAGAGAGGGATAAAACAGAAACATCTCATGAACAGTAATAATCCATATACCTTTTTTCCCTCATATCACAGCAAGCTGTGAAGTGAGAAATGCATGCAAATGAACAAAGAATGTGACCTGCTCTGGGGACTTTGAGCTGACATATGGTATTAAGAGCTGTCTATTATAAGCAAGGGAAATTTCCAGGCATGCTTTAGAAATAAGTGGAAAATCTTGAAACTTTATTTTGCAAGTGGTTTTGTTCATTTAACTTCTCAGTGAAATTTCTGGGTACGTGACTTGTCTCTTTCGCCCACTTTTGCACTTGATGAAGACTCTAGCTCAAAAGTTTAATGGCAGAGACATTGACTGGAGGGGCACACTGGGCATGGAGTGAGCTTAACTACAGTTAAACAGTTCCTAGACTTCCAGACAAGTTGCTTTGACCTCTGTATATAATTTCTGCAGTTCGGGTAGAACGATGGCAACCTGCTTTTAGTCATTTTTTTTCTGGTATTGATGTCTATTGAAAATGATGCTAGCTCTGTTCTTGTGCCTTATAACACAGGCTGTTAAAACTAAGCATCCATGTATATGTCTTGGAAGCCTTTATGTGACCCGCTCTGAAATGAATTCAATAGAGATGAACAGCTCCAAACGCTACTATGATACAAGCTACACTCACTCATATTGAAAGGGGGAGCTTAATTAGATTTTTCTATTTGCTTCAACATCGTAGACATCACATTTATTTCAAACCAGTTTAAAAATAGTGCAATGAATGGGATTTTTTTTTTCCATGTGGAATATGTTAATACACAAGGCAGATGATTTATATTCTGAAGTGTTGGTTTTGTGGTCCTTTCTAGCAAGGTTACTGGGTGAAGATCTGTGGTAATAAAAAACTGTACTGAGTCTGACATTGAAAGGAGTACAAGGAAGAAGAAATTTAGTGTTAATCAGGTAAAACATAACAAAATGACGTTGCTTAGTGACCTGTTGTGTTATTATGAGGAAAGTCTAGAGAAGCCAGTAGTGGTCACTGAAGAAAACTTTAATGAGTAACATTTAGCCAACAGTAGAAAATCTGGGAATTTTGTTTTAGGATTTGAAATGTCCGCAAAATTGTTTTCGAAAGAGAAATGAGGAGTTGCACAGTAGAGTGTGCAGTTGTGTCAAGTGAAATCTCTGGGTCCAGAGAGGTTATTTCAAGATTAGTGTCTCAGCTCACAGCTGAACCTGACCCAAGAGTAGCACCTGATGAGAGACCATGTAATATAATAATGAAAAAAGAGCACTATGGCAGCAGTTTGAGAATTAGAGGAAAGCTACAGCTGTGATGGATATAAGAGAAGTCTGTTTTCTTTGAACTCTTCCTTTTGTCTCCAGTATCGCCTCAAAAAAAGCTTCAGATAAAAACAAAAAACAACT